TATATATGGAAGATAGCAATTAAGTCCGGCAATATATATATATATATATATATATATATATATGGCTAAGGGGGATGGGGAGTGCCCTCGCCATCAGAATGCATTACCAATAGGTACAGGAGATATACCGATGATGTGAGTAGAGAGGATGGCTAGCAAAATAATAATATGAGATATAATATACTGTGGGCTAAGATTATGGATTATAGTTAGCTAATCAACAGCTATATAGTTAACTCTAATCTTCTACGCTGCTCGCAGCTTTCATGTTGACGTTGAAGACCAGCCCGGGGGGGGGGCACTCGCCTTAGAACTGGGTAGGGGGGTTCCTCGAGGTCTTTGAAACCCTGACCCTGTCGCAAACCGCTTTGCGCCCTAAAATACACCCTGTCCCAATATACTGCACTAAAAAGTATACCCTGTCCCAATATACTGCACTAAAAAGTATACCCTGTTGCAATATTGCACATTTCGGTTATGTCCTGTCCTGTCAATACAGGCAGATATTGGTCCAATATCGGCCTGGTGATATTGGCCCAATATTGTTTTGCCAATATTGGTCCAATATCAGCTTGATGGGTGTGTATCTAGATAACCCTGTGCTAATAATGATGTTTGGAAAATATACCCAGTGCCAATAATGATGTTCGGAAAATATACCCTGTCCAGCGGCACGTCCCCAGTACCTTTAACAATGGGAGTGCCCCCTCTCCCTCCGGGGAGACCAGCTAACTAATCTATATATATACATATACAGCTATCTCCAATATTCCTTCCTGCTTGCAGCTCTGATGTTGATGTGGGGACCGCCGTCCTGTAGGCGCATTGAAGAGAAGGTTCGACTCTACTCTGATGTTGAGGCGAGAACGACTGAGGCCGCTAAGCTGTTCAGATGGTACCGCTGCCTCTGCGACGGGTAACTACGTCATCATCTATAATCTATGCACCCGGCAGATAGGTGCGATATGGTATGACTACTAGGCACTTAGGATATGACTACTAGGCACTTAAAAAAAACAACCCTAACCCTAACCCTAAAAAAAAAGAGTAGTAGTCATATCATATCGAACCTTTCTGCCTTCTGCATAATCTATATAGAAGCGCGGACCGCCCGCAGCGCCACCGCATCGCATTGTTTTAGCGCCATCTTTAATATGTGTCGAGCGTCAAATCATAAAATTACACACTGTTGTAAATCATCACTCGTATTTTTTTTGCGGCTGAGTTTGTGTTTATGTTGCATGCGCGCATGCGCTGGTGAGCGTGCGTGCGTGTACGTGTGTGCGTGCGCGTACCTGCATGAGTGCGTCCGTGCGCACCTGCTTTCGCGCGCGTGATGGTATGAGCGTGTGAGAGCGTACGTGATTTAATGCGAGTGTTAGTGCGTACGATCGTGCGTTCGCGTATGAGTGCTTGTGTGAGCGTGTGTACGTGCATGCGCGTGTGTATGTATGCATGCGTGCATGTCTGTATGCATGCGTGCGTGTGTCTGTATGCATGCGTGCGTGTCTGTGTGCGGGTGAGTGCGCGTGCGTGCGACCGTGCGTGCGTATGTGAGTGCTTGTATGCGCGTGCGTGTCTGTGTGCGTGCGAGCGCGGTGTCTGTGCGCGTACGACCGCGCGTGTGTATGTGCGTGCGTGTGTCTGTATGCATGCGTGTGTGTCTCTGTGCGTGCGTGCGTGCGTGCGGACGTGCGTACGACCGTGGGCGCCTATGTGAGTGCGTGCGTGTGTGTCGGCGTGCGGACGTGCGTACGACCGTGGGCGCCTATGTGAGTGCGTGCGTGTGTGTGCGTGCGTGTGTGTGCGCGTGCGTGCGTGCGCGCGTGCGACCGTGTCGTCATGCCGTATGCCGCCGTCTTTTTTGCAGAACCGGGAATGGATACAACTCGTTCACGGACGAATGCTCAGCCGGCCCCACTTCGGAGATGATCGGCCGCTCTCTGACGCACTGCGGTATGCTCCCGCACCGCCATCTACTGGCCGTCATATCATTCATATCCGCAGCACACAGATTTTTCAATTTATTTTAGCAATCAACTGCTGTCTAGCTACTGATCTATACACCTATCAGGGTTAAGGATGTATAACGTGTATGACGCAACCAGTATAAGAGTTAAATTTTGCCAATACGGTACATGCCTATTATTATTGACATTATCATTCAATGATAACCCTTATTTGAAGAGGATATTATCATAACGTTTATTATGGTATATTATCTAATATGTATTTCAATACTATTTGAATTTTTCAGAAAAGAAAATATCAAATAGTATATAGTATACACAGTCTATTTGTATACTACTCTATGTATATCCTATAATCAACAGAAATAAATAATAATAGAACAGAACAGAAAACAACAGAACAGAAACTTACAACAGAAAAAGAAAATAATAAAATCCCGCACTCATTCATCTCAACTTTCTCCCGGCAGGTATCGACGCTGCTAACTTCCGCGACCTGCAGGGGGCGCTGCTGAACGACGGACGTGACATCACGGAGCTGTTGGGACGCGTTAACTGCGAGGGCGTGTTCAACGAGCGGGATGCGGATAAGATCTCTGCCAAGCAGCCGTACTGTCCAGCGCTGATGGCTGGCCAGGACTTCTATCAGGGCTGTGAGTGATTGCACTGTCTGTTTGTCTGTCTGTCAGTATATCTGTCTGTCTGTCTGTCTGTCTGTCTGTCTGTCAGTCAGTCAGTCAGTCAGTCAGTCAGTCAGTCAGTCAGTCAGTCAGTCAG